GGAGGGGCAGAGAGAGAGGGAGACACAGAATCGGAAACAGGCTCCAGGCTCTGAGCCATCAGCCCAGAGCCCGACGCGGGGCTCGAACTCACGGACCGCAAGATCATGACCTGGCTGAAGTCGGACGCTTAACTGACTGCGCCACCCAGGCGCCCCAAGGTTTGCTTCTTATAGGCAAAATTATTTTCCTAACCCTGATTGGTAAATGTTTACAAGTCTTTAAATTTAGTAGGATCCAGTCAATCAATGTGTATTTTTTTGATGTATAGTTTATATACAATAAAATGCACCCATTTTTAGTGAACAGTTTATTAAGTGTTATATATTTGCGTAATTTCCATCAAAATCAAGAGCTAGGACACTCCCATGACTCCAGTAAGATTCTTTAAGCCTATTTGCAGTCCATGATTGTCCTCACCCCACCAGCCTACACAGTTCCAGGGAAACACTAATCTGCTTTCAGTTACTATATATATGACTTTTTCTGATTTAGAATTTCATATAAACGGAATTCTATGGCATGTAAGCCTATATTGCTTGATTCTTTCATGCAGCATAACAGTGTTAACTGTATCAGTAGTCTCTTTATTGCTGCATAGTACTCCCTTGAATGGATATACTACAATGGTTTATACATTCATCTGTGGATTGACATTTAGACTGTTTCCAGTTTTGAAATATTATGAAGAAAGTTGCTGTGATAATGTAACTATGAGTGTTTTTCTAGAAATATGCTTTACTTTTCTTGGACAAACAAAACAAGTAAGTATGATTAATTTTATAACAAACTATCAAACTGCTTTCCAAAGTGGTTATATCATTTTAAACTACCACTAGCAAGGTGAGAGTTCCTGTTGCAGTATTCCATATCTTCATCAACAGTTGGTATTGCTAACCTTTTTGATTGTAGCTATTTTAATAGGTGTATAGAAGTAATTAATTATAGTTTTAATTTGCATTTCCTTGGTGCCTATTGATGACCATTTTTCATGTGCCGATTGGTCATTTGTGCATCTTCTCTTGTGAAGTATCTGATCAAATTTTTACCCATTTTTATATTGAGTTGTTTGTCCACTTATAATTGAGTTGAAAGATCACCTTATACTTTCCTGATACAAAATAATTTGTCAGCTACACATGTTGCAAATATTATTTTTCCAGTCTATAATTTGCTTGCTCATTTTCTTAATGGTGCTTTTCAAATATCAGAGTTTAAATTTTTTTTGAGGTGCAATTGACTTTTTATTCTTTTATGGTTGTGTTATGTGTGTGTATGTGTGTGTGTTTGGGTGTCCTATCTAAGAAATCTTTATCAACCTCACGGTTGCAAAGATTTTCTTCGTGATTCTGTCTGAAAGATTTAGCTTTTATTTTAGGTATACATCCACATCGAGTTAATTTCTTTGAAGGTAAAGGCTGAGGTTAGTTACGATTAAGTACAATATTTAACCAATGTAGGTCTTTACCCAAGTAGTATGGATTCTTCATATGTTTTTAGTCACTATTGTTTTGGCTATTCTATAGTCTTTGCATTTCCACATAAATTTCTCGTATGAATTTCAGAATTAGCTTGTCAAGTTTTACCCATCAGTTTGGTGGGATTTTCCTGGATTCTGATTGAGATTGTATAGAATTATAGACCAATTTAGAGAGAATTGGTATCTTAAAGGAATTGTTTTCCTTCTAATTCATGAATGTCCCAAATCTTTCCTGTATTCAGATGTCTTAGTTTCTTCCAGAAATGCTTTTTAAATTTTTAGTTTGCAGATATTGCACATATTTTATTAAATTTTCCCTAATAATGTCATTATATTAAAGTCATAACAAGTGAAATTTTAAAATTTCACATTCAAACTGTTCATTGCTAGCTATATATAGAAGTGCAATTAAGTTTGGTGTACTGATAGTCTGCGTTGTGACCTTAGTGAATTCAGTGATGACTTCTCGAAACTTGTATAAATTCTTCAAGATGTTCTAAGTGTGTGATGGTGTCATCTGTGAATACAGTTTTATTTCTTTATATCCAGTCTTTGTGCCTTTTATTTCCTTTAGTTGTCTCATTTCATTAACTAAGACTTTTAGTAATAAACACAGTAGAAGTGATCAGAAAAACTTACCTAATGCAAATATCTGAGGGAAATATTCAGTCTGTCATGACTACATATGATGATTCCTCTCATTCTTTTATATGTACTCTTTGTCAGGGTAAGAAAGTTCTCTTCTAACTTTGCTAAGATTTTTTTTTATCATAAATGACTGTTAAAAAAATTATTGAATGTTTTCCTGCATCTATTAGGATAAGCATATATTTTATCTCCTTTCTTTTACTAATACAGTGAAATATATTGATTGATATTCAAATGCTAAACTAATCTTGCAAACCTGAGATAAATCTTCATTGAAATACTTCTGGATTTTATCTACTAGAATTGTGTTAGGTATTTTTGTATTTATGTTCATCAAAGATATTTGTCTATAGTTTTCTTTTCCTAATCCTATTTTTGTCCAGTATTATTATCAGAATAATGCTGACCTCATAAAATGATTTAAGGAGTTTGCCCTCCTACTCTGTTTTTCTAAAGAGCTCCGGGAGAATTGGTATTATTCGTTCCTTAAGTTATATCATACAAATTACAAGTGAAGCTAAATGAAACTGGAATTGTCTTAGAAAGAAGGTTGTAATTACAAACATATGTGGCTTTTAAGCTTTTCTATGTTCTTTTGTGTTAGTTTTGGTAATTTGTTTCTATTAATGTGTTATTTTCATTTAATTTGTTGAATTTATGGCCTAATGTCTTTTATAATTTCCCCATAATGTCTTATTAATATGGGATCTCTAGTATTGTCTCCTCGTTCATTCTTGATGTTAGCAAATGTATCTTCTCTCTTTTTCACTTGATAACTCTGGCTAAGCACTTATCAAGTGTATGAAATCATTTATCTTTTTAGTAAACAAGCATTTTATTTTATTAATTTTCTGTTTGCCTATTTTCCATTTCCTTGATTTTACTCTAAAATTTATTATTTTCTTTTTTCTACTTCATTTGGGTATAACTTGCTTTCCCCCGCCCCATGTGGAATGTTTTGTTTCTTACTGTGGTAGCTTAGATTTTCATTCTTTCCTGTTTTCTATTACAAGCATTTTAGGTTAAAAAATATCCCCCTGAAAGGGTGTCTGGGAGAATCAGTCAGTTAAGCATCCTAACTTTGGCTCAGGTCATGATCTTGCAATCCGTGAGTGCCTGCCCACATCAGGTTCTGTGCTGACCTCTGAGAGCTTGGAGCCTGCTTCGGATTCTGTTTTTCCCTCTCTCGCTGCCCTTCCCTTGCTTGCTCCCTGTCTCTCTCTCTTTCAGAAATAAATAAACATTAAATTTTTTTAAATCCCCCTTGTATACTACTTTAGCTGCAGTCAATGCATTTTGATATGTTACTCAGTTCACAATATTTTCTAATTTCAAGTTTGATTTCTTCTAGAGCTGGGTTATTTAAAAGTATAGTTTTATCCCAATAAATGTAGATTTTCAGGATTAAAAATATTGAATCCTATTTTATTTTATTGTATTTTTTTAAATTTACATCCAAATTAGTTAGCATATAGTGCAACGATTTCAGGAGTAGATTCCTTAGTGCCCCTTACCCATTTTTAATTCTGTTATAGCCAGCTAATGTACTCTGTACCTTGTGACATTTATTGACTCTTCTTTTATGCCACAATATATGGTGTATTTGAGTGAATAATTCATGTATGTTTGAAAAGAATGTGTATTTTGCTATTGCAATGTGTCATGCTACATAAATGTCAATTAGTTCATATTGGTTGATAGATTTGCTGTCTACTTCTGTTAAACTGAGAGGGGATTTGAAATTTCCAATTATGACTGTCGATTTGTCTATCTTTTGTTGTAGTTCTATGACTTTTTGTTTTATATATTTTGAAATTTTGTTATAGTTGTGTATACTTGTGGGATTCTTATATGTTACTAATTAATTAGGTTTGTTACACCTTCATGAATTGGCTACTTCTCTTGAGAAACATACCTCTTTATCTCTTGGCTATCTTTGACCAGAGTCCATTTTGTCTGGTATTAATATAGATACTCTAGCTTTCTTTAGAGTGGTAATTAACTGGTATATGTTTTTCTATCTTTTAAATTTTATCCTGTTTCTCTTTTTATAGTTAATGTCTCTTTCTTGAAATTAACTATATCATATATTAACATAGTATATTGGTGGAAATTTGCTTTGGCCATCTAATCTGTCAATAGTTATATTTTGATTATAGTGTCACGACATGTATATTTAATGTAATTATTGATATAGTTGGGTTTGGATCTACCATTTTTCTCTTTTTGTGCACTTCATCTCATCTGTTTTCTGTTACTTTTTCACTTTTTCTGACTTCTTTTGGCATATGTAAACATGTTTTAAGCATTCCATTTTATCTTTTTCTCTGTTTTCCAATTATATTGAGAAATAATTGACATATATCACTGTATAAACTTAAGAGGTACAATATGACTGTTTAGTTTACATATATTGTGAAATGATTAACACAATGGGTTCAGCTAACATCTATCTACTCTTACAGGTACAGAAAGAAAGAAAGAAAGAAAGAAAGAAAGAAAGAAAGAAAGAAAGAAAGAAAGAGAAAGAAGGAAGGAAGGAAGGAAGGAAGGAAGGAAGGAAGGAAGGAAGGAAGGAAGGAAGAAAGAAAGAAAGAAAGAAAGAAAGAAAGAAAGAAAGAAAGAGGAAAGAAATTTCACCTATGATGAGAACTCTTAGGAATTATTCTCATCAACGTTCCTATGTGTTATAAAGCAATATTAGCTACAGTCATCATTGTATCCTATATTACCTTACAAATCTAAGTTTGTACCTTTTCACATTTTCCTCCAATTCCCCCTTCCCCCACCCTCTGCCTCTGAACTCTTTCTCTATGAGGCTTTTTTTGTATGTTTGTTTTTGTTGTTACATTCCACATAAAAGTGGGACCATGTCTTTCTCTGACTTTCACTTAGAAAATACCTTCAAGGTTTATCCATGTTGTTGCAAATGGTAGGATTTCCTCATTGTTTATGGCTGAATAATAGTTCATTGTATGTATATACCACAACTTTCTTGATATGCTCATGCACTGATGGACACTTTAGGTTGTTTCCATGTCTTAGCTATTGTAAATAATGCTCCTATGAATATGGGCGTGCTGATTTATTTTTGAGGTAGTGTTTTCACTTCCTTTGGTTATATTTCCAGAAGTGGAACTGCTGGATCATATGATAGTTATATATTTAAAAAAATTTTTGAGG